AATCACGAATTGGTAGAAGTTAGAATTCATGCACTGGCCATTGAATCGGGTCCCAGTGGCTGAATGGTATACGAGCCAGCTTGCCTTGTAATCGGAAGGTCCTGGGTTCGAACCCCATAGCGTGGGTGCGTACTGCCGATGATTCGCAAACTAGGATGAAACAGCAGCTGTCCAGTACTCCCTGGTTTTCAATGCTCCTCTAGTTGATATCAATCCGTGATCAAGTCGTAAAAAAACAAAACTCACCCTTACAAACTAAACTATAGAAAAACACCTTTTTTTATTTGAGGGTATGTAATTTAAATCAGTTGCAAACTGATAGAAAAAGATAAGCTCAATTTTCTTTGTGCTTCAGAACACCTAGAAGTATGGCTAAATACGTATGTGTAGTAAAAACCATCAACAGTTCAATATTAGACCGTCTTCTTTAAACAGGCTTTATAAAGCCAGTATTGAAGAATCTCTTTCTATCATCCATCTATTAAGTATTAGATAAATAGTCAAAAGACCCTAGATACCGAATACTGCAAAAAAACAGTGGGGGCCACTGCAGCGCTCACGTAAAACAACCAGAGCTCAGTGTTCAGAAGAAGCCTACTGTGCAACCTATAAATTCATGAATTCTGTATTATTTTTCTTAATTTATCTGATATTCAATTCTTGTTTTATATTGAAGCATAATATCGCTTCCAAATAATTCTGAATTGTTATCTATCGATATTATTCATTCGATGTTATTTAAATTATTATGGACATATAACTGTAGGACCTAATGAAGTTGGCGAAAAGAATATTATATGTTCACTTATAAGTTGTTTTGTGTGTCGGAGGCACGGCGGTAGAATAATGCCCACCACGCATGTGGTCCGGGATTCGATCCCCGGCCACTGGACGCACTCCTTTATCTTCCTAACCCCCCAGTAATAAGACTGGTAAAGAGGGAAGGTTGGGCATAAGGCTAGCTAGCAACCCCATCCCGTAAAAGTTAAAACACTCCTGCTACCGGAACTTGAGGGCTCTAGCTTGAAGCCCTCCCTAAGTTCCACTGGGATGCACAGGAATAAAAAAATAATAAAAAAAGTCGTTTAAAAAAATTTTAAGTGGGGTCTCTTTAATCTACTGGAATCAGTTCAAATAGTAGTGAATCGAATAGATGTTATCAAAATATTATCATAGTGTCTATCTGATTTATTTGACTGAAAAGTGATCACGTTAGTTAATCATTTGTTTACTGTCATATATTATGATAAGCGCTTGTATAGAAAGAGAGAGAGAGAGAGAAAGGCTGTTTCGAGGAGACAATCGCAAAATGAATGACCGATTGACATATTGCTCCGAATACAATTGAAAACTAGAACAATTATTCTGAGCAATACTTTAATTGTAGAAAGAATGAATGAATGAACTTTTGATCCATTGTTTTCATTTTTTGCATACATTGACTGTCAACAGATGATAATAAAATAAGCCACAGAGTGCTAGAATCATCCTTTAGTTTAATGTTTTGCACAGTCTTCGTGTAATATATTGCTAACTTGAAGTGACATTGAGTGACAGAATTATTTAGTCAGTCTAGTCTTAAACCACGATGATGCAAAAATTTATTAAATCCCTCATCAACCTTATTCAACAGCTGTATGACAACGGCACATGTCAAGTGATCCACAACGGAAAACTCAGCGAGGCGTTCGGAGTAAACACAGTAGTCAGACAAGGGTGCTTATTATCACCAATGATATTCCTAATTGTGTTGGACTGGATTATGCGTCAGACAGTGGGAAACGAGAAAACAGGGATATCCTGGACCGACGTGAAGAACCTGGAGGAGCTGGATTTCGCGCATGGATGGTTTATGTTTGATGTCACACAAAATCGGAGACTTACAAGCGAAAACCGACAAAGTGGTCGAAGAAGCAGGCAGCGAAGACAGGACTCTAGGTGAACATAGACAAGACGGAGGTTATGAAAATAACCAACCAACCAACAACAACAGCAACATCCAGCGCCAATCATCATCAAAGGGAGGGATTTGAAAGAGGTTACTTCATTCATTTACTTTTCTAGGGACCATTGTCTCAACTACAGGAAGTCGGAACGGACGAGGATGTCAAATCGAGCGAGAATCGGGAAGGCGAGAAACACATTCATCAACCTGAAACCAATCTGGAAATCTTCGTCACTCAGCCAGCATCAATAAACAAAATTCGGTCGGATTTTCAAAACAAACACGTCAAGTCAGTCAGTTCTTCTATACAGATCGATCAGAAACTTGGCGGGCGGGACACAAAGAATATTTCCAACAGCCTGTTGCAGACCTTTATCAACAACTGTCTTCGCTGGATCTATACTGAAGATCAGATGGCCGGGCCGGAAAGAATCACCAACAAGAAACCATGACTGGGAACAAACAAAACAAAACAATTACCAATCGCCAACCAACAAATATGCAGGAGAGAGTAGAGATGGATTGGACACTCGTGAGTGAGGAGGCCGCTGGGTGACATCGCGCGCGCGTCAGGCCATTGCTCGAGTGGAACCAGGCCAAAAGAGAAGCGGTGAGTGGGACGTCAGTGCAAGGGTGACATAGAGGAGATCGTGAGAAGAGGAGTTGAAACAGTATGGACCGACGTGGATGCAGGTGAAAATTACAGCATAAGGAAGACAGACGCAAGTGGAGAAGTGCAGGTGAGCGAACTTCATAATTTTCTGTATGGTATTATCGCTGGTCTCAAGAAAGCTTATGGAGGCAAAGATGACAAAACACAGGTTCAAAGGACATCCCACATTTGGTGAGACAAAGTTTTACAGGCATAAAACACAATTTTCAGACTCAAATAACATCGCAACATCGCTTCAAATGTGACTGACTTTAGCGTGCATCACTCTGCTTATTGATAGACAATGATACATTTCATTTTCTCCAGCAACTTTTGTCCACTTCACCTGTGAGGACGAATGCAGACATAGGCTCATAACAATCTTCTAAAGGCATATTGCTCATCAAGTCACTGGATAGGCAAGTTTACAAGAGGCAGCAGTACAGTATCACAAGTTGCATCCCTACATGTGTTGATCAACAAACCAAACTTATATGCCACTCGTATGCACCAAGGATTTAGGAATTAGAGTTTTCCAACTCCGTTAGATTGACACATGGTATTTACGAATCTGATGATAAGCGTTAGACATTCGGATTCATAAGTCCGCTTTGTGCCAACACTCTTAGTTGTGTATTGACAGTGAACATTTAGTCACATAGCGGCATTTCTAAGAAAGAAAAAGATAAGTCCACTTTTCCTCCATAATTCCACAGTAGTAAGGTGGGTGCACGCACATTACTGCTATTCAGCAGATACAAGTTTCAGAGCAAAGCTGGGTAGTCACTCACTCACTCACACAAAGTTTACTACCGTGAGCTAGCGGCGGTCAAACCAAAACATGGCCTCACCAGCCAATGAAATCAACAACAGTTAGTTTAAGCCAGCTAGTCACGTAGGAAGGTGTAGACTGGCTTCCTGGTTGGGGTCATCGGGACGGTAAAAACCAATGAAGGCTGGAAACAATTGGTGATATGGCTCAAAATCGTTCTCAATGTCTGGCGCAAATGCATCCACTCCTTGTGACTTATGATTTCCAATGAAACTATATCGTTCTTCGTTATTACTATTCCTATTACCATACTCACACCTCTGTTTACTGTCTCTATTATGCATTTCTTCTACTTTCTTCTCTTGCTTTGTGTGGTACATGGAGTGTGGCGACTTGAACTGGTGCACATCGGTGCAAAGTTCTATGTCGAAAACAGACACAGACAGACCGTGTTCCATTCCCTTTTTTAAGACTGTCAGACAAAAGGATTTCGGAGGTGTGATTCCACTTTCTAAACAGTGAATACTGAATATTTGATTACCTAAGAAGCATGTTTTATTTTGTGGAAGTCTTGCCAGTTTTTTGACTAGCAAAGAGAAGAAGCCTTAAGGTAACACTCAATAAGTGACTACGTATATACCAATACTAACCGCGCTTGATGTACACAAGATACAGGCACAGCACTAAGCCGTTCAAATCTTGGATAGTGATTTTAAAATTCATTATATGTCTGAACTGTTGGTCCACAGCTTTGTATTCAAACTGTGATTCCAAACTGAATGCTTTTAGAATACTAAATGACAGTCGCATTGTATTATGTTACATAAACGTCAGATCCTGATCAATTCACCCAGTAGGAAAATTTTAAACACAAACTTAGGAATATGCATTAAACAAACACAGGGGTCATTTTTGATCATAGATGTCTACGATCTCTGTCTCACGTTAGGTGGTTTAATAAGGTAAGTAATGTTGACGTTAGGCGTAGAGTGTTGGGCAAAGAGGGAAAATCAATCGACGAGGCTATAAAGTTACATAGATTGAGATGGCTAGGTCACCTGTTGCGCATGCCTAACCGCCGCCTCCCCCGACGGGCATTACTAGCTGGTATAGGTGCAGGTTGGAAAAGAGCCAGTGGTGGCCAAACAAAAACATGGCCTCATCAATCCATGAAATCCTTGACAGTTAAACTGATTCAGGTAGGTAAGGAGATGCAGACTTCCGGGTTGGGGCCCTTGGGACGACTCTAGGAATCAATGGCTGGAGACAATAGGTGACATGGCTCAAAATCGTTGTCAATGGCCAGCGCAGATGTATTCAGTCTCTGTGATCTTTCATATTCCTTTCCACCATTACCCATTCTGTTTCACTCTTATACTTGTCAGACTGTATTGATTCTCTTCACTCATCTTCTTGTCTACCTCTGTGTGCTATTTGGAACGTGGCAACTCGAACTGCTGCACTTCGGTGCCAAGTTCTATGTTGAATCCAGACAGACAGACAGGTCAATTTAGATCTCTACATGAAAGTTCGTCAAAATTCTATAGCAATGATAATATATATCAAATAACAGTCTAACTAGAGATGAAAATAAACAGTTATATGTTTTTATTACTCAATGTTTCACATACCTGATAGTTACCGGATGAAGAATCCATGTCTAAATTTAATTGACAGGTGAAATAGTCTAGTTCAAGTTTATCCATTGTATGGATGGAATGTTGCCAAGGGAGAAAAATGCTTTGTAGAATTATTTGTATTTATTTATTACTTGATTACTAACTGCATTAGACAACCTAAAAGAAATAAGTATAAAGATTTAATAAGTAATAGTACAAAGTTATAGTGTGACATATGCTACTGACAAGATTTACTAGTAGTATATAAAGAGACGTTCATTAGCACAAAAATATCAAATAGCGGACAGACAGGTTTGACGTCAAAGAGAGGAAATGAACCAGCGTTATGGCAAAACATGGGAGACACAAAAAGAAGATAAACAAACACAAGACGAAAGATCTATGCAAATGATGATTTCAATAATAATAATAATAAGGTATATATAATTCCCCAGTGTGTGTGTGTGTATTAAATTGCGTCATCAATTCTCTTGTCTTCTCCCGTTACAATGGTACTACATAGCGAATTAATAGAAGCTATGGTTTGTGCGTCACTGGATTCCAGACTATTGATCTAATCGCCTGAGAACAAATAAATTGTGAGAAATACTATACTGAAAATCAAAAAATAATAATAATAACCGGGTCACAGTGGCTTAATGGTATACGAGCTCGCCTTGTAACCAGAAGGTCGTGGGTTCAAACCCCAGTGGGTGCGTGCTGATGAAGAGTCCCAAGCTGGGACGAAACAGTTGTCCAGTACTCCCAGGTTTTCCAATGATTCTCTAACCAATGTCAGCTCATGATGAAATCCTGTAAATGATATTATGTATGAACAGGCATAAAAGAGATGAAATCCAGTTGATAATTGAATCCTTTATGAAGATAAGAGAAAGCTATCCAACCAACAACATGTGAGCAATCAGTCAGAGTGCTATTATACGTAAATAATCAAACGTCTGATGAATTTGTACACTTATTCAATATTTTTCACTCATATGCGACACATAACTAACATATCACTACCTACGATAACTCATTAATGATTCTGTTACGTATCAATGACATCATAAAGAAAATATTTTCATTTCACATTAATAAAATGAATTGTTGAAATAGAATTAGCATTTTTAAGGTATTGGTATACATCTAGAAAATGAATACTTTTTACAGTTCTCAAATATAAAAATGTCGTTTATTAACAGATACACTAACGGGGAACCTCACATACATGTGAAACTGGCAGCAGCACGTGAAAAAAGGACTCCATAATGAACTGACTGACTGAGACTGAATTGGATGGAGGATTTCACCATGAGCTGACATCAGTTAGAGAACCACTGGAAAGCCTGGGAGTACAGCACAGCTGTTTCGTCCTAGCTTGGACTCTTCATCAGTACGCACCAACCGGGGTTTGAGTCCCAAACTAGGACGAAACAGCTGTCCAGTACTCCCAGGTTTTCCAATGGTTCTCTAAATGATGTCAGCTCATGATGAAATCCTCCATCCAATCAAACTAAATCCCTACAAAACCAATACTTCAGACTGAATTTTCAAAGTGAAACTTCAGATAAAAGCGCAGTAGTTCATGTTTCTATACTCCAAATAGCACAAATAGGTAGGGAAATTGCAAAAGAAACGGTTATGCATGGGAGAAAAGAAAAAGCCCATGGTGAATATCGTAATTTTTTGATGAATCTAGAAGTTCGTACAGTGACTGCATACAAGCCATTGAGAATGATTTTGATCAGTGTCATCAACAGTTAGTAACCATGACTTTTTAGTGTCTCAATGATGCCAGCCTGATAGTCTGTGTCTCCTACACGGTTCAAATCAACAGTCAACGACTTCATTAAATGATTCCAGGTTTCGATTTGCCCACTAACCATTTTCCAACCTAATCTAATGTCAGCGAACAATGGTCGACAAAGAAGGCGATGGCTTGGCACACGTACCACGTATCCTACGCATCCAGAGTAGTGCAGCTCCACAACATTATCGATTATTTTCCTTTCTTATCTAACATTCTACAGCTAACTTTAATATTACTCACCAAAAAATATGCCACTTAACACAGGAGATATAATGCAAACAACTGCAGTCAAAGACAGCAAACCTTCTTAAGTCTTCCGTTCTCGACGTTTCGCTCACCAAGAACAGTTGACGATCGAAATCTAGTATAAGACCAGGAAAACCAAGTCAGTCAAGTTGTTCTAGAATGAAGCGTGTAAAATACGGTTATGATACGAACTATGCAACACTATGTTGTCTGTAATACAGTCGGTTTGATTATCAGTTTAAAACTATCAAGGAACACATTGTATTTCCCTTTGTTGTCATTTCTTCTTTATAAGAGATATTAGCGACAGAAATAATACAGACTTTTAAACCAACATAATTCTAATGAGACATCACTATAAATAACGAAATATTTACCAACACATATATATATAATATATATATATATATATATATATATATATATATATATAGTGAAGTTCAGTCCGCATGACACGCAAAAAGTTACTTGGCAGACACTACTTCCTTTGAAATTGTTATGTAATGTCCTCACAAACTCCTACACTAATCAGAAATACGTACTCAGACAAAAAGAATAAAAACAGTAATAATATAAAAGCGTACCTTGAAATATAGTGACGACTGGATTTGTTGCTGACGTCATACTGTGTATTTTTTTCTTCACTGTCTTATTTTGGGAACAAATGTTTCATTTCACGAGAATTTTACTAATCGTATATATATACGGTTAGTTAGGAATGATACTTTATTTTAATCAGAGACACAATGGAGATATATTTTTCAGTAAAAAAAGTCCCCTCTTATTTTTTGATATTAAAGAATATAACTTCATACATTTACTAGTGATACACTATCTCAGAATGCTTTTAAGACAATGTGAAGCTGTACATCTGATCATACTATGAAACAATCCCAACTAAGTGTTTTTCGAGGATGATGCGATTCATTCACTTAGAAAATCTGCTATTTTACAGAAAGAGAACGTTTATGGTGCATTCTAGTAACAATTCTCACAATCATTTTTATTTGTCATAAGTTGCCTTCAGTAAATGTAAGGCATTGTGATGGATTTCTCTATTGGGCACTTATTAGCTGATGTCTCTGAGGTGGTGACGACTAGTGGTATCCGTCAAGGGTGCCCAATATCCTCATTTCTATTCAACTTCATCATAGATGTGTTAATGGACTTAACCCTAACTCACTTCAGAGACTCAGGGATTGACTTGCTACCAAGGAATAATCTCGTTGATTTAGAATATGCAGACGATATAGTCCTTCTAGGCGAAAACGCTGACGAAATGCAGAGTCTTCTAAACACCTTGAGCCGCAATCTACGAATGTTTGGCATGCGATTCGCTCCCGCGAAATGTAAGATGATGTTACAGGACTGGACTACACTGACTCCTAGTTTAGAAATAGGGAGTGAAGTGGTAGAGCACGTTGACCGCTTCACTCATTTGGGAAGTACCATCAGCCAACGCTGACGGGATGATCTCTGACGAAATCCCAGCACGGATACAGAGGGCTAGTTTCGCATATGCCAGTTTACGCCGTCTCTGGCTTAATAGACGTGATATCCGGCTGGCTATCGACCAAAGGCCGGGTGTATTGCTCATCAGTCCGCTCCGTCCTCATTTATGGCTGGCTGTGAGACCTGGCCATTGAGAGTGGAAGACATGAAAAGATTAGCTGTCTTTGATCATAGGTGCTTGCGCTCTATCTCCCATGTGAAGTCGTATAATAAGGTGAACAATATTGAGGTTAGATATCGGTCGAGTGCTAGGTAGGTGGGAGGGGAAATCAATCGACGAGGCTGTGAAGCAGTTACATCGACTGAGATGGTTAGGACATGTGTTACGTATGCTTCCCTAGTCATCGATTGCCATCCTCGACAATGGGCAATGTTAGCTGACATAGAGTCAGGTTGGAAAAGAGCTAGCGGCGGTCAAACCAAAACATGGCCTCACCAGCCAATGAAATCAACAACAGTTAGTTTAAGCCAGCTAGTCACGTAGGAAGGTGTAGACTGGCTTCCTGGTTGGGGTCATCGGGACGGTAAAAACCAATGAAGGCTGGAAACAATTGGTGATATGGCTCAAAATCGTTCTCAATGTCTGGCGCAAATGCATCCACTCCTTGTGACTTATGATTTCCAATGAAACTATATCGTTCTTCGTTATTACTATTCCATTACCTCACACCTCTGTTTACTGTCTCTATTATGCATTTCTTCTACTTTCTTCTCTCGCTTTGTGTGGTACATGGAGTGTGGCGACTTGAACTGGTGCACATGTGCAAAGTTCTATGTCGAAAACAGACAGACAGACAGTTGTCTCTGAGTAGGAATATAAAAATAATCTGCGTAGAGATACGGTGAAGAAATTTAAATATTATTGTCGTTATGTAGAAGATACGTTTATCCTTTGAGATAAATAACTTAAGGAACAGGGACTACTTCAAGTTCTCAAGAATATTCATCAGTCTGTTCGACCTACTGCGAAAAATATTATGATAGCATCTTACCTACGAATCTTCTTCCTGAAAACTCAAATGAATCTGTTGGGTGAATATTTTCAAGAAAACTATGTGAAGTACCCCCATAAACGACTTGATACGGTCGAGAAGTGCTTCAATGTGACCATCCATTCATACACTCTACCACATAAGTCTTATTCACTGCCCTCACACAGTAAGGGTGTTCGCCTCAGAAGTAAAAAAGTGAATCCGAACGTTTGGCGCTTACAACTGGACTGGTGGACATTCAGGTCTACCTAGGGAGTCAGGAAACGCAGATTTCAAACTTAAAGTGTACATGAGCTTCAGAATCCAAACGGATAGAATGGTGTATGAACCTGGTTTGGTCATCACAAACCATAGGAATGCAGCTCTCCATGGTGGCCCTCTGTCGTGTGGATCAGACTTGCAGTCAAATGGCTAAGGGTGGTACCCCTTAAGACAACCATGTCTGAGCGTCCAGTCAGTTTCCCAGCCCTCGTACAAACTACGAGATTTTGTGTGGTGCATCTTTTGGTCCCCACAATGTACAA